ACAAGGAATTACTTCCAGTTTTCGTGATGAACCGACCAATGGGTCCAACCGGATTAAAGAATCTGTCCTTCAGATATCTTTTCCCTCAGTGTCCAGTTGGGGGTGGACAAATTCTTATATAAACTATGTTCAGAGTTATTATATAATTTACAAAATAAAGTGCATTGGAGAAATCCATTAGAATTTGTCTTTATAATAATAATAATAATAATAATAATAATAATATATTCTTGATTGTTGTAATTATTTATGAAAACAAATAATTGCAATTAATGAAAAAATTAGTAGAGGCAAATCCTACTTGGCATTATCTAATTCTGACAATCCTATTTGGCACAACCTAGCTCTAACAAACCTATGCCTCACTACCTGGAAAAAACATGCTTGATATATATAATATATGTAGATTATTAATGATACGAATCAAAATAAAAAGATTACTAATGATATTATTAATTGATTAATTAATCAAAAAAGAAACTAAAAAATAGATCATTAATATTATTAATGTATTTAATTTTCATTTTATTAATATTTAAATTAAAAGAAAAATAAATTAGAAAATAAAAATAAAAAATATCATGTTCCGGCATCAGTTTTTAGTCTTTGGCTTTTATATAATGTATAAATGCTTTAGTTAATAAATGAATTATTAAGAAAAATATCAAACTTGTTCCTTGTAGAGTTCATTCAATTTTTTTTAGCAAGTCTCACACAAAGTTTCGAAGGGAAAGTTGAAAGGATGATGTTATCTTATTAATTATTGAGAAATAGTTTAATAAAGAGAAGAGGAGAAATTGTTAAATAGACGCAGCCTACTATATTAGTTATAGACTCATCTAATGAAATAAAATCATATTAGTAGCTTGTTTTTATCTAGCTTATTCCATATTACTTCTTCCGTCTCAAAAAGATAGTCTACCTTTCCTTTTTGGTTTGTCTCAAAATATAGTCCACTTTCCTTTTTTTTTGCAGTATAGTTAATCTTTAAATTGTCTATTATACCCTTATTAAATTTTATTTTCAATAATTCTCATTAATTCTTACTTAGTATTCCAATATAATAATTGCTCATGTGTTAATTAAGATGAGCATAATAGGAAATTTATATGAATAAAATTCTCCTTTAGCCATAATAATTGCTACTTTTTTAATTTGTGTGATAATAGAAAATAGACTATCTTTTTTAGACGGATGGAATAATTTTTTCACGTTTTCCGTTTGCTTATAGCCGTTTGGAACAAATGATTTCTACAAAATTTTGTGGAATTCAGTTGGAAGTCTAATGTTTTGTGTTCGAAATGAAAAAATACAGAATTGGATTCTAGGAATTGAATTTTATAGAATTGGATTTTCTGAACTCAAATTCTATTAAAATTGATGGAATTTTTAAATAAATTCCACAAAATTAAACTATTAAATTTTCATTGACGAATTTACCGTTTATTATAAACTCAATCATTTTTACTCTTTTTTTTTTCCTTTTTATTTTTTATTTTTGGAAAATTCCTACCAACGTTATTTTTTTTCTTTTACTCTTTTTTTTCCTTTTTGTTTACTTTTTTTTTGGAAGATTCCTACTAACGCTATTTTTTTTTCTTTTACTCTTTTTTTCCCTTTTTGTTTATTTTTTTTGGAAAATTCCTACTAAGGTTTTTTTTTTTTTTTTTTTTTTTTTTTTTTTTTTTTTTTTTCTTGAAACTGATAATAACTAACGTTATTTTTACCTCCACTAATAAACTAGTAATGACGTCAATTTTTTTAATCCGTAAAGACATTAAGTTATTATGTTTGAAACTATAAAATTGTACTATCAACTATTGCTTCAAAATGCAATTTGAAACCAGTTAATAACTTCTTAAATATTTATAGTTTCAAATTAATTACTTAAATTAATAAGACTTTTAAACAATTAAAATAAATTATTATGATAATGTTTAAACTTATATAATTAATTTAATAATTTAAAAAAGTAACTTATTATATTGTATAATAAAAATAATTGGTGTTTGTTATTTTTTTTTATTAAATTATTATGTCAAGATAATTATAAAAAAATTAAAGACAAATTAAATTTTTATGTCAAGGGTATTATAAAAAATAAAGACAAATAAATTTTTATTTAAGAATTTATTCCAAACATAATTTTATAGAATTCAATTGTATTTCTTATTCTAATTTATCGCCTACGAAATATGAGAAATTCATTTATAAATGAATTCTACTTAGAATTTATTTATAAATGAATTCTACAATCATAATTTATTTACAAATAAATTTTACAATCATAATTCATTTGTTCCAAATATAATGTTAAAGATAGAAACTTAATTATACTCGTCGTAATTTTCTGATCGTCGTGGTATATTTGTTTTCAGAGTATATCCACGGATCCGGTACCGCTCTGATTAGCGGGACCTGCCGAAACCTTCGGCGGTGATACCAGTTGTTGGGAAAAAATTACGCAAAATCCCCTTTACGAAAGAGCAAAAGAAAATAATAACACACAATTTGATAACGGAGTTCGGCCAATATTGCCTACGTCTCCGGACTGCCACAGATCTTTTATAGGAGAAAAACAAATATTGTTTACATACACTCACAGCACTCTTTCAAGAATATCTTAATTTTTCTTCTTGAATAATCTCTCTATTTTTCTCTCACAATTGCTCTCGCTCTCTCACAATTGCTCTCACTCTCTATTTGCAAATAGAATATAAAATTATGGGTAATAAATATATTCTTGTTATATAAATGCCTTGTCTGAATAAAAATGGTTTTATAAAATGGGTTTTGTATAGGCTTTGTTGAACAAGTTTCCTGCTTTACAGATCTCAATTAGGGAAGCAAATTGAGATTTAATGAGAGGAGAGGCTAATCAAAATCTTCCTTCGGACCCATCAAGACTTGGTTTCTTAGGTGGCTTAATCATGACCACAATGGATTGTCTGCAACTGTTTCTATTTGCACAAATTTGTTACTCACCAATTGCTTTCTTCTTGAGCTACACTTTCCTTGCTTGGGTACATAAAATAAAAGTGCTTTTTTTCTGGATTTTCTAGTAGTTTTTGATTAAAGAGTATGAAGTTGATATTCAACATGGCTATAATTATACATTGAATCTGCACTAGTTTTTATTTTTGAATAGATTAATGAAAGTAAAATTTAAATATTTGTAAGAACTTAAAATATGAATCTTTTAAAATATCAAGTTTCTATAAAAAGTGAGATTACAAAAATCTATTAGATACCGTGCAATAAGATTTTTTCTACCTTTGGTTTACAACAATCATAATTTCCCAAATGGGTTTAAAATCGAGATAGAAGCGGAGTTAGTATTTTTAACCGCCGAATAGTATTTCAAGAGGTAAATGGACTGATTCGGAGGAATTTGCATTGCGAAGAATGAAATCCCCATGATCTAAGTTTTAATAATCAATTCTGTAAGTGTTCTTTGCCACTGGACTATCCCATTCAGATTATTATAATTATAAATTTACTGTAAAAAGCAACCTAATTGTAGTATAACCTAATTGCAATAGAAAGGGTTTTTTTTCCCCCTTTTCAGCTTTGTGCCAAGTCGTTGATGAAATCTGAAAAAGAACTTCGTTTTACCAATTTTGGTGGAATAACCACTTTCCTTCTTTAAGATAAATAAAAAGGACACTAACACTATATTACTTGTCAACAGTAAATTGACAAGATAAGGTGGTCCACAAATATGTTATGTCTATGCAGCTCATTTATTGAGCAACCATCAAAGTATTGACTAATTTATTAGGGGTTGGTAAGACGTGTGATCAACTTGGAAAATTTCCCTATCATTTTGTCCAAAACCTAACAAATCACAACTAAAAAAAAAAAAAAAAAATTGAAGGTACAACTATAAATTCCATCTCAATTTTATATAAAAACGAATATCCAATGATTAAAATTATATTGTGATAACCGCTAATGTTGGGATGAATACTTCGGTATTCTTTTCTCTTAAATGAGGTCAACGATGGATGAAAGAGGCTAGGAGTGGTCTTTGCTCTCTTAGCCAAAATTCCTTGTAAAAATATTGAAATTGTTTATTTTTCTTTTTAAATTGTAATTTTTCATTTTAACTATTGAAATTTTTTAGTCTTCTTAATTTTAATTTCTAACTCCGTCACTAAGTAAGGTCAAGGGTTTAATTTTTATTATAAATAGAGGAAATATTTAATGGGAGTATTTTATTCTTGATAGACTGTAGAGTATAATTTAATTTTATCTCAATGAATTAGAATATATGTCTTTAAGCGCAAAAAAATACTCTCATTTTGTTTATTTGTTATTCTTTTTTTTTTTGATGTTTCAAAATGTTTGCAAGATTTTCTAAATTTTTTGATGTTTCAAAATGTTTTGCAAAGCGATTTGTCTAAATATATAATATATATATATATATATAATATATATAATAATTTATTTTTTTATGATAACCTTTATAATTGTTCATTAAAAGAAAGGCTTTTTATTTAATATATTAAAATAATTATTTTTTTCATGATAACCTTTATAATTGTTCATTAAAAGAAAGGCTTTTATTAATATATTAATGAGTTAAGGATAAAAATGGCAAAATAAATTTTTGTTAATTGAATTCTTAATATATGTATTTTCTCAAATTATACAAACAAAATGGTACTGAGTGAGAGTATTATATTGCCATAACTCAATTATGTAAATGAAACCCAAAACACTTTATAATAAGTTTTTCTCTAAAAACTGATTGGCGGAGTTTTATTATTATTATTATTATTATTATTATTATTATTACTACTTTTCTGTGACTCAATAATTTTTTAATTATAACTTTACACTGATTATGATATTAGACGGACAAGCCACCCTGGAATAAAAAAATACAATATTCCAAAAACTGTTTGATAGAGACATGCTTCCTCTTTTTTATTTTCTTCTTCAAATCTTGTATATTAATGGAGACAAACTAGCAGGAATCTAGTGCTTTTGCTTCCTATAGCAGTCATGGCCTGAACTGAACGAAGAAAAGAAAAAATGATGGTGGGAAAGGGAAGGTAAAGGAAGTAAGAAGAGGTTACTTGGATCAGTCTGTCACTGAAATCCAGGGAATAGTTATTTTGATTGTTTTCTTCTTCTATTGTGTTGACAGTATATTCTCTTTTTTTTACATTTTTAACTGAACTTGCAGTCTTTACACACGTGTAGACAGTTTCACATGCTTTTGGCATTGTCTGGCCATTTTGTTGATGGGTATATCTTCCAAATCATGAATGTAGAACGAGAATTTTTCTTTCCAGTTAGATGAGGGTGGTCCATTGAAACACTACAGCTACTACTGTCTTTAAGGCTATTCAGTTTCTTTGCACTAAAATTTGTATGTGGATGTGGGTGGCCTCTGGTTTTGGGTTTTCAAGAAGCTTGAAGTCCATTCTTTTGTTTTTGACTTTCTGTAAGTTACTGAAATTATTTGTTCTTGAATTTCTTTCTGTCTTGTTGTTTTTTTGCATTTTACACTACTGTTTCTCAATTATTCTGATGCTTTTTGTCTCAACCATTTGTAGTATATATGTGTGCATATATCTACAGTTTCTTGAGAACACTAGAAATTAAGGGTTTCTATTTGTTTTCAAAGTATGGATTTTAATTGTATTTTTCAGTTTCTTTTGTCATTTAGATAGAGTTCTAACTTTCAATACCCTCTTGTGAAGGAAGAGAAGGGAACTCTTGAGTAATGGATGAAAAGAGGTTTTCATATTTGATTGTCTCAGAAGGGAAGAGTGAGAGCTTATATCCAATGTATTTTGGCGTTTCTTGCGCTTTCTTTGCTCTTAAAGTTATATCAAGAATTGATAAGGAAGAAGAAAGATGGTCTGGATTATGTGATAAAATGCTTAAAGGAAGTGCGCAACTATTGGGAATGCTTGTGTGGAGAATTCAGAGAGAAGCAGCAAATAGTGGACATTTTGATCTTCTCCATAAGCTTGAGATTGCAGAGAAAGGGATAAAAGAGCTTAAGCAAATAAGGCATGAGGATGCTAAAGCAAATGAGAAGGTTGTTGGAATATTTGCTTCACAAGAGCAGAGCTGGTTCCTTGAAAGAAAGAAGCTCAGGCAACAAATTGGAGCTCTAATGAACGAAATAAGAGTCCTTCATAAAAGGAAAGAAGAAGATATCTTGAAAATTAATCATAAATTAAAGGAAAAGGAGATTTTGGTGGAGTCTAAAGATAAGGCCTTAGAAGAAGAGGAGCATAAAAGGAGGGAGTTGGAAGAAAAGTTAACAAAAGCTGAAAATGTTGCAGATCAATTGAGAGAAACTGCTAAGAGAGAAGCTCAAGAGTATTCTACTGATCTTTGGAAGCATAAAACTGCTTTCCTTGAGCTGGTGTCGAACCAACGACAGCTTGAAGCCGAGCTTGGTAGAGCATTAAGGCAACTTGAAGCTAAAAGGCAAGAGATTGATTTGGTCTTGGAGAAAAAAGAGGAATCAGTCTTGTTAGCCCAGAAACTGTCCATGGAAATTGTGAAAATGCAAAAAGTTTTGGAGCAGAAAGATAAGATCTTGTCTGCAATGCTGAGGAAATCGAAACTCGATACAGCTGAGAAGCAAATGCTCTTAAAGGAGGTTAAACTATCCAAGGCTAAGAGGAAACAAGCTGAACTAGAAACAGAAAGGTGGAGAGTAGCATCTGAGTCTAAACATGAGAGACATTCATTAAGAAGTATGTTTGCTCACCAAGCCAATTCAAGACCAGAGGATCCTTCAATCGCAAGAGGGTTATCACAAACCAATGATTATGTTATTGAGTACGAGAATCCCGAGTTTCGAAAGGATGCAGAAATGTTCACTCCCCTTTCTCACTGCTACTCACCAGAAATAAATGATGAACTAGGTAAGACAAAAGAATTCATATTTGTCTTTCAATATAAGAAGCTTGTTTTTTTAATTTTATGGAATTCTTTTGCAAATCCATATGCTTCATGTTTGGTATACTAGGAAACTCATTTGAAAGTTTAACTCATTAATTAAATTTAATAGGTTATGAGAACCAAATCCTATAAAATTTGGTATTATTTGCATAATGCTACAACTTTGACTTGAATAAGATTTGTTGAATTGGAAAATGAATATTTATTTAGTAGTTAGGATATACCAAACTTGAGAATTAACATTTCATCCAAAGACCATGTTAGCAAATATATATAGCTAAGCTCAATTCACATTGTTGAGGCTTAAGATATGAGCTTATATCTTTTGGTAAATCTCCATTTTCCTATGATTTTACTCCTCTCCCGCCCTTGCTATTGAAGCAATTAATACTGATGTCAAGCGGTTGGAAGGATGGGTCCGGTGGGAAGCAGAAAAGTATGCAACATCAATTGAGAAGAGGCATCATTTAGAAATAGATGCTTTTGTAGAACAATTGAGACTCAAAGATGAGAAATTGGAAGCTAGTCGTTGGCGAATGTTAAGTATGGAAATAGAATCAAAGCGATTGCAGTCTCATGTTGAAGGATTGAACCGGGATATGTCACAGCTAAGGCGTGATAATATGAAACTGGAAGCATTGTTATTGGAAAGGCAAGAAGAATTAAATGCCTTGAAAGAGCAATTTGCAGTGCAAGTAAAGCATCAGATTTGCCAGAAGAAAGATTTAGACTTATCTGCTCCTGATGCTGACAATTTGAAGGCTGTAAAGAGAGAACCTGCTGAAATGAATCGAGAAACAAAAGAAAATTTAATAGCAATGCCTCAGGAGAAAGATGCAGATAAAGAAGAACCAGCCTGCGATAACCAGTCCAAAAATACCATTTTTATTGTCCAATCTCCTGAAAAAGAGTTTGAAGAAGAGAAGGACAAAAGTGCGAGTCCTTTGGAGGTTGATCCTATTGAAAAGTCACCTTCCCCTAGCCAGCCGTTAATAAAGGCAAATAACACACCATTGAGGATGGATATTCAAGCTCTTGGAGTTTCTTATAAGATCAAGAGACTGAAGCAGCAAATCTTAATGCTTGAAAGACTAACAGGAAAGCAAGAAAGTGAGGAACAAACAGAAAACAATGATGCTGCACAGAATGAGATAAAGGGTTTTCAATTACTAACGTTTTTGCTTAATAAACAAATCAGCAGATATCAGTCTCTTCAAGGCAAAACTGATGAACTTTGCAAGCGGATGGTAAGCTAAATCCTACCCTAATTTTAATTTTTTGGTGCATTTCAAGAATTATGATATGTTGATTAATGTTTCTTCTCTTCATTTTTGTCTGGCCTTACAAGATCTACATCTTAAAAGAAGTATTTCAGTAACCAATTTGATGAACATTAGAAGTCTTTTTGGTATTGCAGTTGGAACTTGCTTTTTGAGAAGTATACTTCTAAAAATTATTGAGAGAAGCATTTGGGACGTATTGTTTAGAACAGTGGCGGAGGAATGCGGGGGTGAGGGATGATCACACCCCCAAACCCCCACCCCACCCCACCCACCCCCCCGAGAAGTTATACTTCTAAAATATGAGAGAAGCATTGTGGGACGTATTGTTAGAACGTGGCGGAAGGCGAAATGCGGGGGTGAGGGATTGATCACACCCTCTCAACCCCACCCCACCCCACCCACCCCCCCCCGCCCCCCCCCCCAAAAAAAAAAAAAAAAAAAAAAACTTCCCTAAGCTCACAAAATTTGGTGAACTTGCGACTTTAGGAACATAAAAAAAAAAAAAAAAAAAAAAAACTTCCCTAGCTCACAAAATTGGTGAACTGGACTAGAACATGTCAAATACCCCATAAAATTAATTCTTAGCCTATATCAACATTTTCAATATGGTATATCTTTTTCTCTATACCAAATCAAATAAGAATCACTAAGAGACTAAGAACTTCTTTAAGTATGCTGATTTTGCTTATTTCTTGTCAATTATTCACAGCATGATAATGATATAGACAAAAGCAATGGAGATTCCAGTACAGCAAGAGCAAAAGGAGAAACTAAAACATTAGAACATTTCCTTGATGAGACATTTCAGCTTCAAAGATATATGGTTGCAACAGGACAAAAATTGATGGAAGTTCAATCCAAGATTGCTTCAGGATTTGTTGGGGTACCTGAAGAGCTTGACAAGTCTGTCAGCTTTGACACAAAGAGATTTGCTGATAACATGAGAACCCTTTTCCAGGAAGTTCAAAGAGGTCTCGAAGTTCGAATTGCTCGAATAATCGGAGATCTCGAGGGCACATTAGCTTGCGAGGGAATGATAAGAATGAGGAGATAGAATGATACAGGAATAACAGCAAAACACAAAGACATGGATGTTCATTATTGTTTGATATATAAATTGTTAAATGTGTACAGAAAAATCATATATATGCATTGTACTACGAATTGGTAGCACGAAATGTGAACAAACTGCAAGTCTGTAACAGCTCGTTTTTGAATTTACTTGAAAAGTTCATGTCAACTGAGTGTTCTGATAGGGATGGACATAATCTGGGTCAAACTGAAAAAACGGAACTCGACTCACTGTCCGGTTTCAAAAGTAATTGGTTTGGTTCAGATTATTAATACTAAAAAAAGAAACAAACTTTTTTTTCAGTTTAATTTAGTTGGTAATTATATAAAACCCAAACAGAAAAAATTTCCAATTGATGCACAAATGTAAAAATTTAATAGTCCGTTAGAAAATGAAAGATAAAAAAAGTAGAAAGGACTAGGTATTGGCGATGCTTAATGCATTAATTAATTCCATTAAAAAATCTGACACTAGTTAAGTAATTTTACAAATTTAAGAAGGTGAGAGAAATAATGATTATGCAACATTAATTATTTTTTATAATCTTAAAGATAATATTAAATAGGGAGTTATATTTTTTAATTTACAAATTATAAAATTTAATTTTAAAAGCTAAATTTTTCCAACAAGTGAGATTTCTACTAACCAACTAAAAGGCAAATACTCAAATTTTATAGACTCTCACTCTTTGGTGGAGATGCTATATCACCACACCATGAGAATAGCCATGATTCTCCGTTATATATATAATAATATGATGTGATATGATATGATATAATATAATGATGATTTTTGAGAACTATTGTAGCATATTATTATCTCATAGTGATTATTGATGAGAGTCAGTTGAGAATGTGCTCAAGAACTTTGTTTGTTGCCATTAATCTGGGAACCATATAATCCTTTCCATGTTTTCATACACTTATTTATAGTACAATTTAGACTATAACTGACTAAATAATTTTTATGTTAAGAATGTTAGTCATAAATGTCAAACAAGAATATCGGCCATTTAATAATTTTTAATGACTCTGTTGACTGATTGTTACACTGAGCATTACACTTATTTAAATGAGATTCAGGTACTGTTCGAACTTTAACTAATTGCTCGGTCTCTTTCGTTGTTCTGATTTTGACTCGCTCGATTCAAATCCTTTTCTTATCAAAAGTTCCCCCCAAAAGTATATTGAATTATTTATGTTCGGTCTTTTTCTGTTCAGTCTCTATTTGTTTGATCTTTATTCTTAATCACTTATGCTCAGTTTTGGATTTTTCACAATCCATCAAACACTTTTTAATTTAGTCTTCGATGTAAGCCCTAAACGTTAGTTCATTATTAGCTTGCATATTGTCTTTAATGGATGTGACTTTTGGCCATATCGATGCCTCTTGGAACGGCGCGACTCTTTAACGCATCATTAAAGTGTGACGCTTCACTTTTCACATATGTCTGTTTGGTGTTTCACCTTTCTTGGTGTCTCCTCCAATTCTCAAGCATCTAAAAATTGAAGCTTCAAGCGTTCCCTGTTGATTTTTGAAGTTCTTCTGCTGCCATTTCCATTTCTTTGCAATTTTCTGTAAAATTTCTCAAGTGGTAATTGTTATATATTTTCTCATTTTACCTTTCTAATTTCACTTGTCCTTTAATTTTTCACAACACTAGGGACTTTAGCACCCATCTCTCTGAGAAAGGCAATGGTAAATCCATTGCCATTGAAGCTTCTTCTTCTTTCTCAAGCTTTGAAGCTATTAAATCAGGCAACTTTCCCTCTAACCGCTTTATAGCTGCCATGGAAGCAGTAAATCAAGCTTCTAGGACCTCTCCTGGTAGGGTCCGAGCTACTGGCATTATTATTAAGGATAGAAATACCCCTCCCCGCTTGAATAGAAACCCTAACCCTTCACCTACATAGACAAAGAACAAAGAATCTACAAAGAGTGAGTCTAGTGCGAAGAAAGAAAATAGAGTTTCACAATTAAATTCTTTGCTTGGAATAGAGGATATGGAAAGACTTAGGATTAAGTACTCTATTCCTGATGAATTTGACGTTTTCTCTATGGGTGAGGATGTTCAGGCAAACTCTGAGCAAAACTCTAATTTCCTTATCCTGTATGAAGAAGATTTGAGAGCTGGGGTTCGCCTTTTCGTCTCCAGGCAGAATTGTGCGACTATCTTAACCAACTCGGTATTGCTGTGTCATGACTTGCCCCGAACAGTATTAGAATTGTGCTCGGGCTTAGAATTTTAGCTGGTAAAGCTAATTTGGAATTCTCTCTTTTTGTAAGTAATGGATTATATGTTTTATCAATCCGTGAGAGAGATGATCATCCCCACCTTTTTGCCCGAGGAAGACTTAGTGTGTTTGAAGGAATGGCCACATCTCTAAAAGGAAGATGGAAAGAGCAATTTTTCGCAGTAAGGAGCTCTAGAGACTTTGGGGGTGAACACCTCTTGGTCCCGAACCAACCCCTCTTTTCAGGACGACAGATCATTAACCCAAAGGGAAAGGGCAAGCATTGATGCCCTTTCCGAGTATACTAATAGACCCGTACACCTTCTACATCTTCTCGCATTGGAGTACCCTTCTACTCGCTCGGGAAAACAGCCAAAAAGAAAAACTCAAGAAGGTATACAAATTAGTCTTTTCTTTGCGCAGTCCTAAACTAACTTTTAACATTTTGCTTTGTTCAGCAGATATGACTGATGGAAATCTTACAAAAAAAAAAAAAAACTTGAGGAGAAAAGGAGGAAAAAAAGAGAGAGCAAAGCCTCAACTCAAACAAAGAAAAAGGGAGATGGACTTATGTTAAGAGATGAGGATGATGAAAATGAGAAGACACCTCCTTTGTCAAGTAGGGGCTCAAGCACTCTTATTCTTGCTACCTCTTCTGATCCAGTTACATTAGATCAAAGCCTCAACTCAAACAAAGAAAAAGGGAGATGGACTTATGTTAAGAGATGAGGATGATGAAAATGAGAAGACACCTCCTTTGTCAAGTAGGGGCTCAAGCACTCTTATTCTTGCTACCTCTTCTGATCCAGTTACATTAGATCAAAGCCTCAACTCAAACAAAGAAAAAGGGAGATGGACTTATGTTAAGAGATGAGGATGATGAAAATGAGAAGACACCTCCTTTGTCAAGTAGGGGCTCAAGCACTCTTATTCTTGCTACCTCTTCTGATCCAGTTACATTAGATCAAAGCCTCAACTCAAACAAAGAAAAAGGGAGATGGACTTATGTTAAGAGATGAGGATGATGAAAATGAGAAGACACCTCCTTTGTCAAGTAGGGGCTCAAGCACTCTTATTCTTGCTACCTCTTCTGATCCAGTTACATTAGATCAAAGCCTCAACTCAAACAAAGAAAAAGGGGTCCAGTGGGCAAGGACTTGGATTCCATGGAAGAGAGTGCAATATTCATAATATGAACTGCAATCTATTCTCTATAAGTATTTTGTTGTTTCTGTTCCCCTTCCAATTTTACCCTATTACTCACTTTTTCTATATTGTAATAGCTTGTTATGAGGAAGAGAGTTCAAGATCTGCCCAGCCACTGTGGTAAACTCAAAGTATCTAAGAATGAAGTTGTTCAACTGGCAGAAACTACTAAGGAGATGATGGATAGTGCTGCCACAACTCACAGAAAGGAGATGTGCACACCTAAAATGAATTTCATGATCTTCCGCCATGTTTTCTTCATTTTCTCCCTCTTGTTGTTCCAAATCGTCAATTAATTTATATGACCATCGAGGAACTTGTTTACTTATTTCTTTTATTCCAATATAATTATTTCTAATTGTTTTATTTTTTGTTTCTAATTGTTTTATTTTTTGAATTCGCTTTAACTGTATCAAATAAAATTTTGAAAAATTTTATTTGATTTTCTAAATCCATTTTTTCTTCTTTGTGATCTAAAATAAAGAGAGTTTTCCTTAAAATTTAAACTCGATCTTGATTTTTCGGCAAATTCATTAATTAAATTTAAGAAATAAGCAATTTGTATTGAAAATGATTTTACATCTGTTTTTGGTTCGAATTTTTGATAATTAGTAATAAGAAGAAAAAGATGAATTTTATTTATCCAAACCATCTCTATAGAATTTTTATGGAAGTTTTATTTAAAATTGAGGGTGAAAAAAAATTGGATTTTTATGAATTTTATTTATCCAAACCATCTCTATAGAATTTTTTATGGAAGTTTTATTTAAAATTGAGGGTGAAAAAAAATTGGATTTTTTCACGGTATGAACCACTCAATAAGGGATCCTATATTTTAGGTAAGTACTCTTTTTTAGTTTTATCATTACACATAAAAAAAAAAAAAAGTTACAGATGAAGCTTTAATTACTTGCTCGAAAAATATCCAACTCGAGAAGGAGAAGTTCGAGCAAGAGCAAGCCAAGTTGTCTGCTGAACAAGAGAAGGCTCATCTGAAGGTTCAATGTGATCAATTTAAAAATGAGTTGGAGGTTGCTTGAAAGGAAACATATGATGCACTGAACGACACTGTTGATACACTTGATAACTTCCAAGATCGAGTGATTTCTGCTTTCCAGGTTCAGTAACCTAAGGATAACTTTGATTTTATTAATGAGATTCCCATCAATGTCCCTTCTGAAGATCCTAATGATGCTCCTTTGAACATCTTGATGAACAACTTGAACAAGCAAATCATGAGCAAGTCGATCGAATAAATGATGAGCAAGTTGATCATTCTGTTCCTTGAGAATTTCATTCGTTCTTTTTTGTAGACTGAGTAATTTGTGAAATTTTGTATGTACATACTTTTTAATGAAAAATTATGTTTGGCCTTTTTAAATTTCGAGTTCTCCAACTCTTTTTTATCTCAAGCTTACTTAGGCTCGCGATGTATTACTATGTGACGTTTTTATAGCAACTTACTATTTTGCTCTAGTTTTCTTAAGTGGAGAACAAGCGAATCGTATTATAAATTTCTTTTTATTTCTTTGGGAAAAGTCAAGAAAAACCTATTTGTTAGGATCATTTTATTCCCTTAGCTCCTCTAAGCTACCCCTTATACACCCATAGTCCTATGATCCTAAAACTTAGGTGAAAAAACTTGCTTTTCCTCTAATTCATCTTGATTGTACATAATATTTTTGCAGATTTTCTGTGTTCCATGTTTGTGGCAGTTCTTTGCCGTTTGCTTTTTGAATTCTATAGGTGCTTAGCCTATCATTTGTATTACTTCATATGGTCCTTCCCAATTTGGACCTAAATTGCTTACTCCTGCAAATCCTCTTGTAATTTCTGCTTTTTTAATGACAAAATCTCCCATTTGAAAACTTCTTGCCTTTACTCTTTTGTTGTAGAATCTCATCATCTGTGTTTTGCATGCTTTTGCTTGGTTCACTAGCTTGGTCTCTTTGTTCTTCCAATTGATCCAATGTAGGTCTCATTTGCTCATCATTTGTTGTTGCATTGTAATGTAAGGTTCTTACACTGGGAGCTCCGACTTCTATCGGGATGGCTGCTTCTGTTCCATAAACTAATGAAAATGGGGTTTCACGAGTAGCCTTCTTTGGGGTCGTTCGGAACGCCCATAACACACTGTTCAACTCGTTTACCAATTTGTCTTTTCTTCGTCTAACCTCTTCTTTAGTCCCTGCAAAAGAGTTCGGCTAGTAACTTCTGTTAACCCATTTATTTGTGGGTGGGCTATTGATGTAAAGTGTAGCTTGATCTTCTAGTTATCACAAAAGTTATGAAAATGTATTGAATCGAACTATTTCCTATTATCCGAGACTATGTTGTTCGATATCCCATACCGAAAGATTACATTGTTCTGGAAAAATGGTATAACATTGTTCAGTGTTATAGTGGAAAATGATTCTGCTTCCACCCATTTTGCAAAGTGGTCCACTGCTACAACAACAAACTTCTTCTGTCCAACTATTCTAAGAAAAGGATCCAAAATGTCAAGTCCCCATTGTGCAAAAGGCCAGGCTCGACCCAAAGATTGCATTTGAGTTGCTAGTTGTCTCGGTACCCTGCTATACTTTTGGCACGGTATTTTGGCTTCATATCTTTTTTTTTTTTAAAATTGGCCAATAATATCTGTGCAATGCAATTTTCCTAATGAGTGCATCAGCTGCTTTATGTGCTTTGCACAATCCTTCATGTGCTTCATTAACAACACACTCAGACTCCTCGTCACTTAAGCATTTTGCCCATGGATGAGTTTTTGATCTTCTGTATAGCGTTGAATGTACATAAGCATAGTTAACTGCTTTCCTTGAAATTTTCAAGGCTTCTTTCTTATCTTAAGGAAGAATTCCTTGTTCGAGACAATCCACAATGGCCTTCATCCAACCTTGTAATGACTTTACAACAAGAGTAATTTCTTGATCAACACTTGTTTGGTGCTGAACCTCCAAGGGTATTGCATTGTTCGTCCACTCAATTTTTGAGGCCGCTGCTTTTGCTAAGTTATCTGCCTCCATATTTTGTGCTTGGGCAATCTGTTGTATCTCCTAGCTCTCCAACTGTACAGTTGAACAGTTAGAGCTTTATACCTCACAAGGGCAGGTTTTTTCACTTCAAATAATCGTCACGCTCGACTCCAACCACCAGAGGAATTGTTCGCTTTGGATCAAGCCTATTCCATCCCATAGTGGATTGGTAAGTCCTGCTCGGTTCGGTCTCGCAGGTGAAATGGAGAACTACTGATGCGGAACCCTATGGAAATTAATTCCAAGAACTCTATGACAAGATTAGAATAGTTTAAAGATCAAACTAAACTCCCCTCTATAGCACCCAAAGCTTAAAGAAGAAAGAACACCAATAATAGAGTAAAAGAATAAGATAAACGGCACAAGTAAATTGATAAGTTTACCTTGATTCTTGATGCAATTAAGTTACCTTGATTCTTGATGCAATTAGAGGAATGCACTCTCACCAATCTCTCGAATCAAAGGAACACGACTAAGCATAAACAATCTGCTAGATTTTCTTATTTCAATCCAAATTGTGGTTTTTGTTTTACAATATAAACAGCTATGTTATACTATTTATACTAAATCTAAGAGGTCCTGATCCTTAAAGGATTTAGAATAATTAATCTAAATCAGCTAAGGATAAGGATTTAGCTAATCTAAACCAACTAAAGATAAGACTAACAAATTTCAACAAACTTAAGGATTTAGGAATAACGAATCCTAACTAACTAAAGATTAGCTAAATCTAAACAAAATAAGGATAAATTAACCAAGGGTGGCCGAATTATAGGAGGCCCAACGCATTAACATTGTTACAGCTCAAAGTAAATATAATTGGACTAACTAATCTCGCTGGAGGCAGATTCTAGCACGGCCTGGGCGTGCGGCCTGGGCGTGCTATATGCATCAAGGGTGGCCGAATTATAGGAGGCCCAACGCATTAACATTGTTACAGCTCAAAGTAAATATAATTGGACTAACTAATCTCGCTGGAGGCAGATTCTAGCACGGCCTGGGCGTGCTAATATGCATGGGCGTGCTTCATGTTGTTGCTTTTACCTTCGCAAGTCAGACTCAAGCACGACCTAGGTGTGCTAACCTAGCACGGTCTGGGCGTGCCACTGGCTGGAATTTCAGATTCCATCTCAACATGTGCTTCCATCAATGTGCGAAACTTAGGTGTTCTCCATGCTTTCTTGAGCTCTATGGTTGAGTGGTAGCGAATCCGTATCAACTACCTAGAAGGTCCCCCATCCTAGGATTTTCGTTAAGTGAGCACGCTTAACTCTAGAGTTTTTCCAACTCTCCAAGCCATTCTACCAAAAGACGCCTTTTATGATTAGTTTCCCCCTTTTCGACATATAATTTGATTTATTCCTGTGCCCCACATTCCATTACCCATAGCTAGCCTGCCATCCTAGAACCTAGCTAGGAGCTTTTTGCTCTACCCATCCTCATAGGATCGCTTTCCTGGGTCGAGATGTCACAGGCCCACCATTTACCTAGCAATTGATTGACAACTAGTTATGAGTGAGAATAAATTGACATATCGTTCAGGTCTTACCTCTTGTGCTAGTTTGATGCCTGTTATTAGCGCTTCATACTCAGCAACATTATTGGTTGCCTCAAAATTTAGTTGCACTGCATACTAAAGTTTGATTTTTCTTGGTCCTTGTAGTATAATTTCGCTCCTGCTCCTGCTTGATTTGTCGCTCCATTTGTGAATAGTTGCCAACTCCATTGTTGTTTAATTGGTTGTTCTCCTTTTGCTGAGTTCCCTGTTATTTCTAAGATGAAGTATGAGAGTGCTTGTGCTTTCAAACTTGCTCGGGGTACATATCGAATGTCGAATTCCCCTATCCTTGTAGACCATTCTACCATTCTTCTTAAGGTTTCTACTTTGTGTAACTCCTTTTTCAAGGGATAATTAGCTCGAACATGAATAATGTGTTCTTGAAAGTAGTGTTGTAATTTTATAGAGGTTATTAAGACAGTGTATGCTAATTTTTCTAGATAGGAAAACCTTACCTCAGCCCCTCTTAATACCTAACTTACATAATAAATAGGATATTGCTAGGTGCCTTCTTCTCTGATTAGAACCGAAGCCACTGTCTCATCTGCAACCAAGAGATACAAATATAAAGGCTCTCCTACCTTGGGTCTCCTAAGTAGAGGTGGGGAAGCAAGAAAACCCTTTAACTCCTTAAACGCTTTCTGACACTCATCTATCCACTCAAAGTCCTTTATGCTTTTTAAAGTTTTATAAAAGGGAGGACATCTTTTTACTGAACGGGATATGAATTGCCCTAAGGCAATTATTCGACCATTTAGTTTTTGATTATCATTGATTATTTTTGGAGGTTGTATTTCCAGCACTGCCTTTATTTTTTGTGGATTTGCTTCAATTCCTCTTTGGGATATCATGAATCCCAAAAATTTTCTTGCGGTAACACCAAAAACACATTCTTCAAGGTTTAATTTCATCCCATACCTGTGCAATATGTCGAGTGCTCGTCCTGAGTCAGATGCATACTATTCTGCCTTTTTTACTTTTGACTATCATGTCATCGACATATACTTCAACAGAATCACCAATCAAATCCTTGAACATTTTATTCACTAATCATTGATACGTAACTCCTACATTCTTTAGACAAAATGGCATGACTCTATAACAGTACGTGCCCCTATATGTGATAAAGGTTGTTTCCTCTTCGTTCTTTTTATCCTTCTCGATATGATGGTAACCTGCAGCTGCATCCATGAAACTGTACATTTCATATCCAGCTGCAGAGTCCAGTAACTAGTTAATGTTCGAGAGTGGGTACAAGTCTTTAGGGCATGCTCTGTTTAAATCTGTAAAGTCACATATAATCACCATTTGCCATTTGGCTTTAGAACAAGAACTACATTAGCAAGCCAAGTTGGATACAAAACTTCCCGAACAAAACCTATTTGAATTAATTTGTCCACCTCTGCAGCTATTATTTTTTGCCGCTCGGGTGCATGATTTCTTTTCTTTTGTTTTATATGTTTAATGTCGGGATCAATGCTAAGTTTATGCCTAATTACCATTGGATTAATCCCTGTTATGTCACTGGCCTACCATGTAAAATCATTTTTATGGTTTTTCAGAGTTAATAAGAGATTTTATAATATTACCCCAGTGGTGCTTGTCTCCACTTTTACTTTCTTTCCCTCTTCTAACTCCACTTCAACTGGTGCTGTTTCTGGCTCTGGACTTACCTCTACTCCCTCTCTTGGGATATCAAAGGGTTCTGCACTGTCTTCTATTCGTAGCTCCTCTTCCAGTTGCTCGGCAACCAAGGTGGGCAATGAATAGTGTGAGCTTTTTAGCACAACCATATACGTTTCTCTAGCAACCCTTTGATCTCTTTTCACCACAACAACCTTATTATTAGCAAGAAATTCAAAGTTAAGAACTTAATTGAAGTACAAGCATTTAAATCATATAACAATGGTTGCCCAATAATGGCATTGTACTAAAATGGAATGTCGACCACCACAAACTCTGGTCAGAACTTCTTTATATGCTCTTCGTCACCTAACTCCATTGAGACTTCAATAGAGCCCTCAACCTGAACCTGCTTCCCTACAAGTCCTACTAAAGGTGTATGAACATACTTTAAATTATTAATTTTTAACTACAAAGCTTTGAAAACATCAAACATTAACAAATTCACTGCACTGTCATCATCCACTAATATGCGCTTAACTCGATAATTCTCAATGATAACTTGCACCACCGAGGCATCTGCATGTGGATGTTGAACTTGAGCACCATCTTCTTCTGTAAAAATTATAGGAGGTTGCTTTGTTGGGATCTTTTCAAGGATTGAGTAGATTTCCCTTGCATGGTGTTTTTGTGTGTGTTACTATGTCCCCCAGTTGGTCCACCAAAAATCATGTTGATCACTCCCACTGTTTCTATTTTTGTTAATAACTTGTACTCTTTCTTTTCTCTAGTGGAAGCTTCTGTTTGTCCCTGCACAAAGTTCTTAAGAACACCATGTTGGATTAATTTTTCAATTTCTTTTTTAAGTTACAAATAATGTTCTGTATCATGCCCCACATCTCTATGGAAATCAAAATGCTTACTTTTATCCCTAAAAGTAGAGGATTCTTCCCTCATTCTCCTTAGGTAAGTGAGGTAAACTACTTCACCATGCCTCTAGATCCAATCAAGGATATAAGTATGGCTTCTGGTTAGTGGTGTGAATTATCGCTCATCATGCTCTCTTGGTCGAGAATATGGGGTCTTTGAGGTATATCTAGTCTGAGAAAAATACGGTCTGTTGAACTGCGGAGGTGATCTTCTTCTGCTCGGTTCCTTTTTCTTCTTCTCATGAGAAACCTTTGCTTGCAATTGTTGCTACTGCTTCCAGGCCTCATCTAGCCGAGCATAACTATTTGCTCGGCACATCAATTTTGCAAAAGAGAGTGGAGGATCAATATTGATTGAATCAAATAATTTTCCACACTTATAGTTTTCGGCCATGGCACTGATAACCACTTTTGCATTCAAGTCCTCGATTTGCATGGTTAACTTCTGGAACTTGCTGAGATAATCCTGAAGTGATTTTTCGTCCTCCCTCTTTAAGTCGATCAGGTTCAAGGAGATCTTCTTCCTCAGGATGCACATAATAAAATGCACTTTGAATGTCGAGGCTAGCTGGGTAAAGGATGATATTGAACCCGTCTTAAGCATTTGGTACCACTCCTGTGTGGACCTTTCAAGGTCACAGGAAAGGCTCGGCATAATAATGTTTCTATTGTTATCTGGATATGCATTATCATTCTGAAACTAGCAAGATGACTCCTTGGATCTGTTATGCCATCATACGCTTGAAAATTAGGCATATTGAACTTGGACAAGAAAGGTACAGCCAACACTTTGTGTGATAGCGAGGAATCATTCATAAGCCCATAATCAGTATTATCTCCAGGAACTCTGTACTCCTTTAAGATCTCCCTGATTCTCATCTGAAAGCTTTCATCACTTGCCCCTCTAGCCATGTTTCTAGACTTCTGTCCTGAGTAGTTGCAGTAGTCTTCTAGGAGGATTCTATTTCATCTGGAAGATTTATTGGTTTCTTCCCCTTCTCCTTGAAACAACCTGTCTCCCACTCCGAAACGTGTAGTTGTGCTACTCTAGTGTGGGTTATGAAGGAGGTTGGGTTTGTATGAATCTAGCCGGAATAGATGAAAAATTATTATATGTATCTGCCAAAGCTTTGGCAACCTGCGGATCAGCTACCGAAGGTTGGCTGGAAGTAGCAGGATTGTCTCCATGAGCGGAGATATGAGAATGGGTAACAACTAATTATGGAGGAGATCGTGATTCTAGGTTTTGAGCTTCTGAAGCAGATTGTGAGATCTTGGGATGCCATTTCAATTTGAATAGAGATGAGATCAGGACTCTCGACGTGAAACGAAGGTGTGTTCCACGCTCACCAATTGAGGCACAGAAGGACTCCCAATTCCCGAAGTGAAGACAAGACTGACTTTGAAACCGCACCAATTTGATGAGAGTAAACTGAGAATGTGCTCAAGAAATGTGCTTGTTGCTATTAATCTGGGAATCAGATGATCCTTTCCATGTTCTCATATACTTATTTATAGTAAAATTTAGACTATAACTGACCAAATAACATTTATGGTAACAATCTTAGGTATGAATGCCGAACAAGAATCTCCGCCATTTAATGAGTTTTAATGAATCTGCTGACTGATCGTTACATTGAGTGTTACACTTATTTAAATGAGATTCAGGTATTATTCAGGCTTTAACTAGCTGCTCGGTCTCTTGCATTGTTCAGATTTTGACTTGCTCGGTTCAAATCCTTTTCTTATCAATTATTATTTACATAGTTTTCCAATTAATATGAAGATGAATCGTGGAGATTGTTTGGGCATAGTACTCCATTAACACAAAAAATAGCTATGTGAATCCTTAATCAAAATCTTCTTCATCAAAATGCAAAAGATTGAAACTTATTTCATTGCATTCATACTAATAGCCCATTTGATTTAACTATTTATATCAACGAATAACTGATACCAGTCATTGATAGTTAAGGCTTATTCGACAAATTAAATGTTAACTTTTTAGTTGGTAATTGTTTATATAACGGTTTAAATTAAAAATATTCGGTAAAAATTGCTTTATAATTAGTTATTTAACTTAAAATGATAAAAAAAGATATTAGTTGTTTAATTAGTTGAATTCGAGGGAAAAAAATTGGTATGATTATAAAAAATGTTAAAATGCACTACAAGAAAAACGCCATTTTGCGACCGACAAATCGGTCGCAAAATGGCTAATATCGGTCGCAAATTTACTTTTGCGACCGAACTGAGTTGTTATAAAAAAATGGTTAAAATGACTACAAAGAAAAACGCCATTTTCGACCGACAATCGGTCGCAAAATGCGCTAATATCGGTTCGCAAAATTGTACTTTTGCGACCGAAACTGAGACCGACAATATTTCTGTCGAAAATACGTTGGGCGCAAATAATTTTTGCGATCGATTATTCCATCGGTCGCAAAAAAATTTATCGGTCGCAATTGTTGGTCGTTTGGTTTAATTTGAAATTCAGTCGTAATATGGTGCTAGGAAAAACGGTCGCAAATGTTTTTAAATTGGTCGCCAAATCGGTCGCAAAATGTTAATTTAAAATTGGTAAATTTCGGTATCAATCGGTCGCAAAATTTAAAAAAATTTAAAAAAAAATTAAATATTACTCTCTAAAACCAAAAATTTTTCCCGCACCTGTGAAATTGAATATACATATTATTCACACACGCAATTCAAGAACAATGTAAAATTGTAATTTTTATTGTGCATGAAACAAATTAAATATCAATACAAATTAAAAAACTTAAAAAAGGTCCAAAAATTCAAAAATCTATGCTGCTGTTCATCTGCAGGATCCGATGTCGGATCGCCGGGAGGAAGTACCTTGCCTGGATTGAGTAGCGCCCAGGAGGGGTGACCCAAAGGGTATCGTCTGTAGGCATCGGGATCAGGAGCAGGAAGTGGCTTGCTGCTGAGACGTCAAAACCATGTCGGTGCTGGGGGGATCTGTTAGCAAGGCGCAGGATCAGAAGAAGAAATACAGCACCGGACCTCACCGGACAGCGCATCACATCGCGCTTAAGGCTCTGCATCTGTCTCTGCTGATCAGCAGCTTAAGCCGTATATCATCATCAACTGCGAGTCAAGTTGTAGCTCCGGCTGTCGGTGCTGCGGCTGGCTGTAGAAGCGTGAGCTGCTAGAGCCAGTGTAAAACTGTGATGCCTGAGACCCGATGCGTTATACCTTTGTACTCTACCAGTCCCTTGACCCCGCCGTTGATATCTTGGAAGATTACAAAACTTGCAGTCTCTGAATTCCGAGTCAACACCCCAGAATATCATAAAATTATTATGACAGCAGTCAATCTTTTCTACGGATAGTCCCAATCCTTGAACCAATTTTTTTGTCCGATAAAAATTATCAACCATTGAATGGCCTTCAGGCAACATTTCCTTTGCTAACTGCACAAAGTCATCGTAACACCTTTTTGAAAAATGGTGCTCTGATTTCATGTGTAGTAATCGTGCCACAACGGATAGAACTGAATGATTCTTGCATCTAGGCCACAGTTCACTGTTAGCTGCACTTAACATGTCAAACAATTGTTGTGCTGCTACATTTGGCGATTCCTCAATATCATCCCAATGACATTCTACTCTACTCGCATCGATTACCACCATATCATTGGCATTGTTACCATACAGGAAATTTGATAAGGCTGAATTTCTAAACTTACCGGAATGGACGTGGCCTGACCCACTGGCAACTCGCGCTTCCACCATGATGTATCCATCGTTAATTAATTTTTTCCACGAACCCCATTTTTGCACAAATGAAGTTTCACTGTATCAATGTCTAAGAGGCTCGATTTCGACACTTCCCTTGTGATTACATGGACACCTCACTTATTCCTCATCCATTAAAAACTGGTATTACCAACTGGCAAAACTGTATAAACGCTTCCAATTCCGCTGCAGGAACTCTGGTCTTAAGTATCCCATTGACCTCGAAACCTCAGTACATTCAAAATCGCGATTATTTTTTGCATTTTTTTTTACCTAATTAACATGTGTTTATCAGGGTAAAATTATATGTAATTGGGCATTAAGTCTGATCTAGCCTTAAACATTGCCACTAATGTAATGTTCAATTTACACTTATAACTAATTAAGGTTATTTCTAATTAATAAGGGGAACTATATTATAAAATGTAAAAAAACTAAGTTCATTTATTCAATACAAGGTTGATATACCTATTATAATAAAGGTAAGTGCTACTATTCTACATATTGAATTTATTTGAAAAAAATTCGCAGGCATTTCGGCCCACAAACCACAATTCAAATGTCAAATACAAAGACACTTCAATTAAAACACTTCTATAACATTAATCAACTTCTCCAAAGGCAAAATGGCACTACTAGGGCCTCCAATCCAAACTCATCATTATTAAAAAAACATGTTTAAGAATAATAACGAATTGTATCAAACCTTAACCTAACTTCACCAAGAAATAACCTACATTTAGGTAACTTAGGATATACCAAAATAAAATGCTATGCCATAGTAGTGAAGTTAGTTTAGCTTTAAATGCGAAATTCGGTGATGAAACAATGAAATAGAAATTTTATTAAAATAAAAGTATCTTTTACTACATGAGAAAAAAATTCTTCAAAATGTTATTAGTTTTTCAAATTGTTATTAGTTTGGTTTATAGATGGATCCATAGACTCAATTTAGATAAATATAATTTACGATTCCAGTAGCATTTTTGCACGTACTTTTTATATATATAGACGACAGATTATATTTTTCAAATTTATTCGACGGTTGTTATGATAGAGACGAGGGAGGCCACCAATAAATTTCCAAACAGTCATAGAAAGCATAGATTGAATTGGCCATGCCACATCACCATAAAAACCCAATTAGCATCAAGCTAAAAGCTATAGACCAACAAATTTCTGTGCAAGGGGTCCTCCTCCCATTACAAGTGGCTTCCCTTTTCACCTTCCATGTTTGAGATATATATAGTGCAGCAATAAGATTTAAAACGTACTTTAGACTTCAACATCTCATTACACAATTGACAAAGATCATAACATCAACAAAATTATCAATTTATCTTCATTAAATACTTGTGAAGAACGAAATAGAACAAATAATAAGCATATGCAAAATATATAAACGATAAACCTTCTTCCATTTCAAGTTTTATAATCGAAGTCCGATAAAATGAAACGTAACATTTCAATGAGTAAGAACCAATATCAAATAATCCTTCTAATCAAATTGATGTCAAAATATAATCTCAACATAAATTTTCATAAGTAACCTCATTTGTTCTTCGAAATTCGAAAAACAAAGCTCAAAGAATAATTACATTTATTAATATAACTTTATTTCAGTAATTTTTTTTTAAAAAAAAAAAATTGTAAATTGTTCATCTAACCTATTGAGTATTGACTATATTCCACCATTTTGACCTTTTGCTTGATACATTTATCGAAGCCCAACCCAAAAACCATGGAAGTTAAAGCCAGGTTTTCCGTGGATCCAATCCATTAGCCATCAATGAAATCCAAAACTCCATCTTATCCTGAGCGTGAGGATGACCTTTTGCAGTAGTATCTCCTACACGTGAATTAAAGGGCACAAGGGCATTCCCTAAAGAGGATAATTATTTTGTTTAAATTCTATCATTAAACTCAATTAACGAATTTTAATTAATTTGGCACAATTCTTAGGACTAGATAATTCACTTTGCCTGAAAATATTCAACTACACTGTGTAATTTTATTTTTTTTAAAATCAGAATAATAATTATAATATTTCAGTTTGATTAATTCAATTTTATGATAAATTGATCTATTAAACTTATTTAATTAATTGAATATTATCAAGTTTGAAAATCAAACCCATAAAATAATCAGCTCTTAATAATTCATAAATAAACAAAAGGAAACCAAATCTCAGCGGCGACCAGGATCCGGATGCTCTATTAAGAACTTCAATCAACCTCAGTTTCATAATAAAGAGGTGAGCTTTTTTTTTCAAATGTAATTCTGCTCGTTTTTGCTCTAATTTCGGTTAATTGTTCTGCATTTCAGATTTTATTCTTAAATTTTATTGTGCACAGTTTAATTGGGTGGTGATAGTTGATGGGTATCATTTTTTTTTTTTCTGATATGGACAGCTTTTAATTAGCTTTACTTGATATTGTTTTGGTACTTTAATTCAATCGGACTTTATTGGATTTGGGGATTTGCAATTAATTTGCAGAAATTAGATTTTCTTGTTTTCATGCTGTTTTTCTTCAAGTTTTGTGTTTTATTGGTTGAGCATTGATAATGAATTTTTTTTTTTACCAGAAAGGAAAGTCATTTTCGTTAAAGGAATGTGCAATTTCTCTTGCTTTGGCGGCTGGGTTGATAGCCGGGGTTCCTTCATTGGATTGCTCTAGTAACGCATATGCAGCTACTCCTGCATTGCCTGATCTTTCTGTTTTAATATCTGGACCTCCAATTAAGGACCCAGGAGCATTATTAAGGTATGCTCTTCCAATTGATAATAAAGCTATTAGGGAAGTGCAAAAACCACTTGAGGATATCACAGAGAGTCTCAAGATCGCTGGAGTCAAAGCACTTGATTCCGTGGAGCGAGTAAGATGCCTCATTCCTTTTGGTATTGATAGCATTATAACAAGATATGGTGGATTAGTGCTAATTTGCCAATAATCTTTGTTTGCAATGCAGAATGTTAGGCAGGCATCTCGATCTCTTAAGCAGGGGAAGAGTTTGATTATAGCAGGCTTGGCTGAATCAAAAAAGGACCATGGAGTTGAACTGCTTGACAAGCTAGAAGCTGGAATGGATGAGCTTCAACAGATTGTTGAGGATAGGAACAGAGATGCAGTTGCACCAAAACAGAAAGAGCTGCTTAATTATGTCGGAGGGTACGAACTGCATTACAATCATTACTAATGGCATGATGAGGATTCGTCTTCTTGAAATCATGAGTACTTTAAAACAGAAAAAAAGGGATAAAAAAACATCAAGAACCTAAAGTTTTATAAACAACTCGAAAGGGCAATGGCCAATCCAGATGCATGTTTAAAGTCGAACAGCCATCTAGTTTAGAAAGCCAAAAAAATAGTTATACTATGTGACATAGATTTTCTAAATGTAATGCTGTTGAATCTGATCTCAACCGATGTCTACAATGAAGTTTTGTGGAAGTTTCAAGTTTAAATTCATTATAACTTTGAAGAATACATGTTCTGAAGTTAAAGATTTTTATACATTATGTTGTAAGTTGATCATGCTACCAAGCATTTTCACAGTGAGATTCAAGGGAATAATCTCATGAATTTAACATCTCTGAGCTTTTGCTTATTGGCATATTTTCTCATACCTTGTAATTGAAAACCTATATCTTAATTTTAAGTGATAAAATAAACTCAGCCATTTTTTTTTCTAATTCAATTTATCATCATTGGACGATGCATGAAGCACACTTTTATCCTATAAGAGTTTCTTCCCATCTATGTATAGAGGACTATCATTGGTCATGGTTTGGTTTTCCAAATTTAATGAGATATTTACCTTGATAAATATGAGATAGAATGAGCCCATCATGGGAGGTAGATGGTATTATGGTATCATACTTCTTTTATAACTATCCCCTAACTGTCACAAGAGAAAATTGAGGACTTGGAATAGTTAATCCTCTTAAGATAAACTATTCTCATATATACCCTTGTCATTGACTGCAGCTGAGATCTTCCTGGGGCATTGGATTTCTGCAGTGTTGAAGAGGACATGGTAGATGGGTTCCCTTATGAAATCCCAGAAGAATACAGAAGTATGCCTACATTGAAGGGGAGAGCAGCTGTGGACATGAAGGTCAAGGTTAAAGACAATCCCAATTTAGATGAATGTGTGTTCCACATTGTTCTAGATGGCTACAATGCTCCAATAACTGCTGGGAATTTTCTAGATTTGGTGGAACGGCACTTCTATGATGGCTTGGAAATCCAGAGAGGTAAAATCATTAAAAGCACGTAATATGATCCTTCTTTGCATCTGTAACACTCTCCTTGCTCCCTCCCTCTCCCTCTAATTGTTTGAGGGAAAAATAGCAATCAACCTGACTATGTTGCTCTCTGGTATGATTCTTATGTTTTATTTGACTAATATGATCCAATTAATTGCAGCGGATGGCTTTGTTGTTCAAACTGGAGATCCTGCAGGTCCTGCAGAGGGTTTTATTGATCCTAGTACAGAGAAAACTCGGACAATACCATTAGAAATCATGGTGAATGGGGAGAAAGCACCTTTCTATGGAGCAACGCTGGAAGTAAGCTCCTCTCTGTCTCATCTCATGTGCTTTTTACATTAAACATAGATGATGGTCAAAAAGCAGGGTATGGCTTCAATGTTTTGTCATCTCTGCTTAAAGTGCTTTAGGCACTTATTTCCATAACTTCATGTTTTATGTAATGGTACTTGAAATGACTATTCAAATACATAATTTATGGACCAAATCATCAGAAAAGTGGCTTCGATGACACATTGATAATGGTATTAAAGCTCTCTCAGGAGGTTGAATTTCAAGCTGCAAATTGCATTATATGAAAATTCAAGTATATTTAGTCGTAGTCATAGCTTCTGCATTTGTGTGATGTGCCTGAAGCCCCTTCTATGGAGTGACTATTATTCATGTTGGATTTTTCTCCTTGAAATGGAAAATTTAGAAATGCATTGTGAAATTCCTTTTTTTTTTTTTTTTTTTTGGACCTAAGCGGTCCTTTAGCTAAGTTCATCAGTTTGAACATACATAGCTCGCCAAGATGACCTAAGCGGTCCTTTCAATAATTCCACAAGCTCGAACGTACATAGCTCGCCCAAATGACCTAAGCGGTCCTTCTCATTAAGTCCATTAGCTCGAACATAAATAGCTCGCCCAGATGACCTAAATGCTTGAACATACATAGTTTGCCTAGATGACCTAAGTGGTCCTTCTCACTAAGTCCACTAGCTCGGACATACATAGCTCGCCCAGTTGACCTAAACGATCTTTTTCACCAAGTCCATTAGATTGGACATGAGAAGTTCACCATCTAACCTAAGCTGTCTTCTAACCAGGTCCATTAGTCCGGACATACTCAGTCCTCCAATACAGCTCTGACTTAAGCACTCCTCCAGTTCGGCCCCAGTTCGGCTCGGACTTAAGCAGTTCTCCAGTTCAGCTTTGACTTTAGTAGTCCTCTAATTCGGCTTTGACTTAAGCATTCCTTCAGTTCGGCTCGGACTTAAGCAGTCCTCCAATTCAGCCTAGACTTAAGCAGTCCTCCAGCTTGGCCCCAGTTCGGCTCGGACTTAAGTAGTCCTCTAGTTCGACTTGGACTTAAGCAGTCCTCTAGTTTGGCCTGGACTTAAGTAACCCTCTAGTTTGGCTTAGACTTAAGCAGTCCTCCAGTTCGGCTCTAGTTCAGCTTGGACTTAAGTAGTCCTCCATTTCGGTTTCAGTTCGGCTCTGACTTAAGCAGTCTTCTAGTTCGGCTCAGACTTAAGCAATCCTCTAGTTCGGCTTGGACTTAAGTAATCCTCCAGTTCGGCTCTGACTCAAGCAGTCCTCCAGTTTGGCCTGGACTTAAGCAATCCTCCAATTTGGCTCGGACTTAAGCAGTCCTCCAGTTTACAGTTCGACTCGAACTCCATGCTCAAAAAATATCTATAATAATTAGTAATCACAGTACAAAAATAAAGTATACACATATAATATAAATATAAATGATAAAATATACAAATACTTTATTTGGACATAAAATGACCAAATAACTAGTGGGGGACTACTGTTAACATACAATAATAAAATATATTAAAATAATAATACTAGACTCTTAAATAAACTCTAACTAACCTAATTAGCTCCAATCAACTGGATCACATCAAATGACAAGAAATCTAGTTTGTGTGTACAACTCCAATTAACAAAACTTTTTTGCTCATCTTGCCATGGCTAATGCTCCTTAACCGTCACCCCAAGTCGATGACCATAGATCGTCTTCTTCTCTCTTCCTCCATTCAATCTTAACCTCCCTACTTCTGAGCTCGCCGATCAACTTCCTGATTCTCTTAAGTACTGTCGTAGCCTCCAGACTTTATATCTTTCTAATAATGCTCTTTTCCATTCAATTCCACCTCAAATTTGTATCTGGTTGTCTTATATTGTTACTCTAAATCTCTCCGGTAACAGCTTCTCCAGTTCCATTTCGCTAGAAATCATTAACTGCAAGTTCTTGAATAATCTCATTCTGAATGATAACGAGTTGTTCGATACCTCGGTTGAAATGATTCTCGATGGTAGACAACGATTTGATTTTAGTTTGCTGGTGTTATTGGTGCTACTGGGTCATTGATTTTAGGGTTTGTGATTTGGTGGTGGTTATATGTTAGGCCAAGTGTGAAAAAGAAAGGTTACGGTGATGGTAGTGGCAAGGATGATTCTAGCTGGGTTGAGCTATTAAAGTCACATAAACTTGTTCAAGTCTAATTATTTCAAAAACTCATTGTTAAGATCAAGTTGGTTGATCTATTACTAGCCATGAACAATTTTGATTTGGAAAAATATAGTGATTTCAACTAGGACTGAAGATTCATACAAGGGTGTTTTGCCTGATGGGTCTGCTCTTGCTATTAAAAGGATTAGTGCTTGCAAGCTAAGAGAGAAGCAGATCAAGTTTGAGATGAATAGGTTAGGCCAACTCAGGCATCCAAATTTAGTGCCTTTATTTGGATTTTGTATCGTTGAAGAAGAGAGACTGATGGTTTATAAGCATATGCCTAATGATACTTTGCATTTATAGTCGTTACTATACAGATTTTTCCTTTCTTTTTTTGGAGAGATGATTGAGAAAATGCAAAAGACGTTTTTAGCTTTTTATTTAATTTTTCTTTTGAAAATAGAAATGATTATTATGTCTATGATCGTTCCTTTATTGATGCTTTCTTCAACTTTTTGTTGGGATTTTAGGTTAATATCAATGTATATGCAGTGGGAGAAAGAAAACGAAGAAGATGGTCTCCCTCATTGATAGACAAAAAAAAAAAAAAAAAAAAGGGGAGAAAGAACGAGAAGAGTGGTCTCCCTCATTGATAGACAAAAAAAAAAAAAAAACAGGGAGGGAGAGAGAAAAAAAAAAAAAAAAAAAAAAACAGAGAGAAAAATGACTATTCATTAGAGAGAAATAAAAAAGTTGATTTAACAAGGGTGACAAAGCTGAGTTGGAAACTTTATACATTTGAAAATCATTAAAACCATCCATAGCATCTTTCCATCTATTATCTAACGGAAAATCTTACGGATTCACTTTATTGTAACACAAATTAAAATTTGTGCATTTTTTCGCAATAAATTGAATGTTAGGCACACAAATGTAATAGGGAGTATAGTTGAGGGATCAAGAGTGAGATTAAGCCTATCTGATATTTCTATCAATTATTAGCTTCTGATTAAAAAACTTACAAAATACTTACAGATAGCTATTGAATATAAATCAACTATCAGTTGCATGAATTAGTTGAATCAAATATCATCGAAGAGAAGAAATAGGTTAGAGCATCAAAGACTAACAAATTTTTTGAATGATTTTATTAGGAATTCAAAATTGACCTTTGCCTTCTGAAAATTACTAAGTTGAGGAGAAGTAGCTTGGATTAAAGCAAACTTACCAAATGTTCCCTCATAATCACTGGACATGATCACAGTTCAATTTCAAATAGGAATCGAATAGAAATTAAACCAGTCAAAATCAAAATCAAATTGTGGTTAATAATTATTCGTTTTAAATTGAATTTGAAACCATGTACCTACAATTGAATTCTAATTCTTCTTTTGTTTAGAATCGAAATCACCTATTTCAATTTGAAATCCGCGGTTATGATATGAAATTATAAAAAAAATTAATAAATTAAAGACTATCAAGTATCAATATCACTTCCAATTTATTTTTGTTTTATTATAAATTTTTTAAATTATTAAGATTTTTATTAAACTCATTTAGCTTTTTCAATTATTACTCACTTTTATTATTTATTTATCTTACAAAACTAAAAAAAATATTTAAAAACTAAAAAAAATATTAAATTTTGATTTTAAATCGGGATCAAACTGAAATAAAATTGAAAATTTCAAAATCGTTAAAAAAAAAAAAAAAAAACACTTGTTCAGTTTCCATTTCATCTATTTTTAGAAACCAAATTTGATTTTAGAACTGATGGTTCATCAACCGTGGTTAAGCGTACCCAATAGTCACGCGATAGTATTACTGTCGATGGTCGTTACGCAATAATACTCAAACATTTCTAATTAAAGTAAGGCCCACATTCTCCGCCTAGCCGTGTGAGAAAAAATAACCAATTTGGCATTATCTTGTGAAGAAGAAGCGCCAGGAGCGTTCTTGCTGTGAGTGACTATGACCCTCGCCAATTCACCATTTATCTGTTTCTCCATCTATAAAAGCTGCGAAAACTACCTAAGCTGAAAAAACTGATCAAAATCTGAACTGGGTTTTTCTTAATTTCCGCAGGAAATCTCTCTATCCAAAGATCAAATGGGCTTCGATTCAGATTTTGAAAAAAGTCCTGCGCCTAAGCTTTCTTTCCTTTCACTTCCAAACAAGCCACAAGACCCACCAGGATTGTTAACTCCACCAATCCATACTTTAGCTTCAGTTCCATTCCAATGGGAGGAAGCTCCTGGCAAGCCTAGACTCTCCAACACACACCACCACCAGCCGCCGCCCAAGTCCAAGACGGCGAGGTGCTTAGAATTGCCTCCAAGACTGTTAAATGAGGCCAAGGTCAATAACGTTTCTTCTCCTACAACTGTTTTGGATGGGCCTTATTTATCGAGTCAGTCTAATTCTCTAACTCGATCTAGCTCCTTGTCATTTAGAAACGGAAAGTCGTTTAGTAATTTAGATAACTTAAGCAGGAGAAGTAATAAAGGGAGAGGCATATTTTGGTCCAGTCGGTGGGGGAGTTTTAGAGGGAATCATAAAGAGGTGATTGAAGGTAGTATTGACTTGTCATCTTCCGCTTGTAATGGCCATGATGGTGGTGGAAGTAGCGGCGGTGATACAAAAGTGAAGGTTACAAGGGTTAGAAGGAAATTTAGCTTCTTTAGTTTCTCTTCTACAAGATCACATTCGTGGGTAAGTATGTTCTATGTTCTAGTCCCATTTGTTTTCACTGCAGAATTATAAAAAAAAATTGCACTTCACTTCACATTTATGAGCGTACCCCATTTCAGAAACGTCCGTATAAAATACCATTTTTCACGTAAATTGTAAATATATATCGTTTCTGCGTCCGATGGAACATAGTTCTCTTCTTATTGATTAAAGAAGAAATATTTTAGTGAACTTTATCAAAATAAAATAGGAATGTTTTGGTACTTGATTGTCTAAAAATGTCTTTTGATAAATTTCTGAAATGGATATTGAATGTTTTGATGAATTGTAACTGCAGACAAACATCTATGAAAGCTTTAAGCAGGTGGTCCCAAGGAGAGGTAGGCAAAGAAATTGAGGAAGATCGTGAACCAATAATATTCATTACCAAATGTCAACAATGTGGAGCCTACTCCTGTCAAGCTTCCATTTTAGAATTTTTGTATATAAGAAAAAATTTTAATAATTTATCTTATATTTGTTGACTTAACTGATGTGATTAATTATTTTTTTAAGCACGTTTTGTTTTTCCTTTTCCTTTTAATTTAGGGAAGTGATTTACTTTTTTAATTAATTAATTAATTACTTTATTTTGATTTCTTAGTTTCTGAATATCCACCACGAAAAGATACATGATAAACATGGAACTCCCAATATCTAGTGGTTAAGGGGGTCAAAAATAATTTTAATTACTTCGAATCTTCGGCTCACTTTGTTATAAATGAATTTTATAGAATTTTACCAATTAGATTCATATAACTTTTTTTAATGTAAACAATATATATATTTACATGCGGCTCACTTTGTTATAAATGAATTTTATAGAATTTTACCAATTAGATTCATATAACTTTTTTAATGTAAACAATATATATATTTACATTCGTGAATATAACGTAATTTTATTAAATTCAATATTATCAAATTATATTATTTATGTACTCGTGAATATAATTTAGCAGTACGTGTATAAAAATTAAGAATACATTCAATTTCGAATCTCGATTTTTGGTTATTTCAAAAAATTATAAATAAAATTTCTATATTACAGATGCAAATTCTGATGGAGATATTAGTATATAATATGAAGTAATTAATTATAGATGCATGGATTTCTAAACTAAGAATATTGCGTACATATATATATATATATATATATATAGATGTGCGAAAAGTCAAGATAATTGCTTTACATTTGATAGAAGAAAATTGCGAAACAAGAGGAGATAAAGGTGAAGTCAAGAATTAGTTGGCAAGCACTTTCTTTTCTTCTTGTAATTGGCTTTAAAACAAGCCTGCCTTAGCCTCTTTGTTCTTTCAGTCAACTCCGTATCAGGCACATCTTCTACAAGCCTTTTATCCTCCTCCAACATCGCTATTTCATTATTCAGTCCCATCTCCTACATTATTAGTATTCTAAAACATAAGCTATCAATTCAAATTTTATATTAATTATGAGTCCCTAAAACAAATAAGTCGTGGACAATCTTTTCCATATAAAAGTTTCAATTACACGTGTTCATACACCTGCGCGTGCTTGCGCGCGTAGTTGTGAGTAAACCATCGCTTTGGTTTAACTCGAATCCAACTGAAATAAAAAAAAAATGTAAACTGAACTTTTTTGACAATAAACTGAACTAAACTGAAATTTATTTTTCAATCAAACCAATTGTTTATATCAAATTTAGTCGTTTTTTACCATTTCAATTCGATTTTAAACCCAATCGATGGATTTTTATGAATTGATTTGAACCAAATAATGAATTTTGATTCAAACCAAGTCTCTTTTGAATAACTGATCAAACCAAAATGAGTCAGTTCGATTTTTGGTTCAGTTTGGTCGTTTGGTTGCACACTCCTACGCATGCACATACATATATTGATATAAAAAGGCTTGCCTAGACCGGGTGTATAAACCCACTTATGGACCAAATAAATGAGATGAAGTATTTTCTAAAAGGTGTTCCGATTTATCTTTTTTTTTTTTTTAAGTGTATGGTAACAAATACCATTGTTTTAATAAAAATATTTAATTACATCGATTGGGTCCATAAGTGGAGTTATGGACCTGGTCTAGATAAGTTTTTCCCTATTAATATATATTCAACTCTAAGTTTTTTTTTTTCCGAGTGGAATATTCAAGTCTAAATTTAGTTATTAATACTAAGTATTATGTATGGATATTACGAGTTTTTGCACTTTTTTTTTTTTGAACACTGGAGAAGGAGATTTGATCTAAATCTATTGTCAGATCGTATATACATTTATTATTAGCCTATGTCTTGGTGAGTTTTTGTACATAGTTAATCATGAAGTAAAACAAATAGCAGTATATAAGATTTTCACATTTACAAATTAATATTTGTAGATTGAAATCCAAATACCCTTTGGGCCAAAAGAAAATATATATACCTTAACATTGTTGATGAGTGAGTTCAAGCTCTTGAGCTTACGATGCGGCCATCTCATGATATTGAGTTCCCTACATCTCTTTTTCAACACAGTCAATCCCACATTCATTTCTTTAGCAGCTTTTGTAATTGGCAGATCAAAATATTTTTTTATCTCTTCCATTTCTAAAGGAACTGACATCTTTCTTCCATTTCTTAACCTCCTCTCTTCCTCCACATTCTCACAATAACGATCATATGGGTTATCAAGTAGCAAAGTACTATCTAAAAATGAGTAGTCATCGATGTCTAGGTTTATCTCTTCAAATCCCTCGAACCCATAATTTTTGTAGTGAGGTAGAGTTAAAGAATCCAACTCGAAGAAGCTCTCCAATGGCGGAAATTCTGAAACTCTGGATATTAAAAAAAAAAAAAGATTAAATATTTATTATAATAATCATACCGAAGGATAAGGGAAGACCGGAAATTGTAATAGATTAATTAAATTCAAACAAAAAAAGAAAAAAAACAAGAAATTAACAATTGAGTGCTTACTTTTGAAAAGTGTCGTCTAGGTTTAACCAGTCAGTATCAAATGAGTATTCGTTCTTTGGAATGTTTAGTAGTAGTTCTTGGTCTGTTCTTTTAGAATCCATATATATTTAGGAAGATAGAGATCAAAGAAGGTAATTACAGAGAAAATTAAAAGTAATGATTAGATATAGAAGTGCATGGAGGGGTTTGTGAGAGTTACAAAACAAGTAGTGGATCAATGTGTAGTAATTAGGGCATTTATTATTGGAACGATTACCAATAATTAGAATTTTAATCCGTTAAGCAATATAGTGGGCTAAATCATGCATTTCCTTCTTAATTAATGTATCTGTTTTGATATATTTAAGAGCTTTATATACCGTAATTTATGTTAATTTACACTTCACATATTATTGATATGCCAGAAAATAAATACTTCACGGTCTCGTTTTGTTTACATGCTTTGACAAAACACATATATTAAGAATTTAATCAATAAAAGTTATTTTACTCTTTTTTACCATTAGTTCATTAAAATATTAATAAAATTTCTTTATTTAATGAAGAATCATAAAGGTTATCCTGAGAAAAATAATTATTTACATACGAAAATTTAGAAACCTTGCAAATATTTGGGACATCCAAAAAAAGAATAACAAGCAAATAAAAGGATTGAAAGGAGTATAATGGATATGCCTATTCTTTCCGGTTTTCCATTCTTTTGGATTAGGGGAATTTGCAACCCATTTGCACTATTTTCGGCCCGTTTTTACCCTAATATTAATAATAGGATTGCGATATTATCATTTGCCAAAGGTTTCTCACTAGTGGTGGTAAAAGGTAAAAGTGAGTGTTCGATTATTAATTTTAACTAAATCAAATTAGCATGGTGTCAATATATTCGAATATATTTTTATGGTATCCAAACTTCAGAATTGAAATGATATAAAAATCGATCCAAACCTTGAATCAATTTAGCTTATTATTTACAACAAATTAGCAATCTTGGATTTAAAAATAAATTTGGTTAGTTATTTATAGTAACCGAACCAAACAATTTTCTATATCTATACCGTTGGTAACCAAATTTTTAAAACAACTATCTAAATCTAATCAAAATGAGTCAGTTTGATTCGATTTTCAATTAGAAATCTAGTATTGCTCACCCCTAGTAAACATAGGGAAATTTTGGGTTGGATTGCATTTGATTTGACTCATATTTATATGAGTCACTTTAAATAATGTTTTTTCCATTTGAATTCAAGTCGAGCTAGTCATCACATTCTGGGGCGGAGCTCAATAGATCCCCAAGGAGCACCTGAGCATCTTAAGAAATTAAATTTTTTTTTTTTAAAAAAAAAAGTATGTTTTGATCCTTAAAAATATAGAAAAATTATATTAGGCCTCCTAAAAGCTTAAAAAAATTCTATTTGAATCCCTTTGAAATAATTGTCCTAGCTCTGCCCTTGATCAAATACTACAAAAAAATCACATTTTTGCAACTGATGATTGCGACCGACACAAATCGGTCGCAATTTTACGACTGATTTGTGACCAATTGCGATGATTGTGATCGTGAATGTATTGCGACCAAGTTGCGACCAAACAGCGACAAAATTTGTGACGGATTTGCGACCGATACTCAAGCAGTCGCTAATTGTAGCGCTAATAATTCCCGCCAATTTGTTTTCCATTTTGCAACTAGTTTAAGACGGATTTACGATCGATTTTTTTGACCGATTTGCGACTATGTATTATTCCATCGCAAAATTGCGCGCCTCAAATTCAGGACCAAATTTCTGCGAAGGATTTGCGACCGATTTGCTATTGATACATTGCGACCGACCACTTTGGTCGCAAATCGGTCGCAATTGTGGTGCAAAGTAAAACGACGTAGCAGAGTTAAAAATTGCGACCGATAGGTCAGTCGCAAATATTAGGGCTTTAAACGCTAGTGAGCGCCCTCCTCATTCTTTCTTCTTCTTCTTTCTTCTCCTCTTCTCTTCTCCTCCTCCATTTGCAGCGCCGTCCCAGCCTCTTGTCGTGCCACTCCCAGCCGCTTGATGCCTCCTTCTCTGCTCCATTGCAACGCCGGTCGTCGGAGGATCCCTTCTCCTCGTCGTTCGTGGTCGTCAGTTCAGGTATGTTTGTATTTTTTTTTTTCATTTTCGTTTTTTTTTTTGGGAACTTGTATTTATTTTGTTGTTCTTGTAGTTGCATGACAAAAAATAAGTTGTTATTTAGTTGTTTTAGTTGTTGTAGTTGTGATTTAGTTGGTATTGTGCATTGTGTATGTTATTGAAAAGAATGATAAAATTGGAAAAAAGAAAATTTGATATTGTAATGATAATTTGGAATTTTTAATAATTTAGGCAAAATTATATATGTAATTTGGTAATTGTGCTTGTGATGTTATTAGAAAAGAATATAAAATTGGGAAAAAGAAAATTTATATTGTAATGATTAATTTTGGAGATTTTTAAATAATTTAGGGCAAAATTATAATGTAATTTAATAACAATGTCAATTTTATGTAAGTGCAATTTTTAAAATTTTTAGTTGGATGAGTTTAAATTGATTTGAAAAAATAAGAAAATTTGACATGTTGTTAATTAAGTTAACAAAAAGAAATAAGATCAATTTACGAATATATGTGTAGGTAAATCAAATATATGTATAATTGTGTAACTAAAATAAATGACAAATAAATATAATTGTGTAACTAAAATAAATGAGAAATAAACATAATTGTGAAACTAAAATAAATGACAAATATTGTAATTATGAAATAATGAATTTTTTTTTATTTGTTATTATTGTTGTTATTATTCATAATTTTTTTTTTTTGTTATGAAATGAATGATGCGTTTGCGTTGGAGGCCTACTAGTGGCCATTTTGCCTTTGGAGAATGTTGGTATGATATAGAAGTGTTTATTAAAGTGTGTTTTGATTTGAGATTTGATTGTGTTGTGCCGAAGTATTGCCGAATTTTTTTTTTAAAATTTGAAATATATCTAAATAATAAAAGAAACATAATAAAAAATTCTCATGTTATTTGCTACTTATTTCTAAACACTTTCCAAATTCTTAGTAAAATTAATTAAAGTTTGAAGAGAATCCTTTTGTATCCCGTTAGGAAGTAAAAGTGAAAAATAAAAAAATTACATCTTATTAATTAATTGTGCGAAAAAGAAACTAATCTATCATCATATGTGAAGAATTAATATAATTATGTGTACGGTAAAATTACAGTGAACAACATAACATAATTGTCTAACTAAAATAAATGCAAATACAACATTATGAATAAGACTAAAATAAAGTAAACAAATAAACACTATTCCGTATTTCTTGTGATAATGAAATAAAAACGCATTTTATATTTGTTATGTATTTATGTTATTATTCTCTGTTTTTTTTTTTTTTTTTTTTTTTTTTTTTTTTTGTTCATGAAATGAATTGATGCGTGAGATGCTTGCCGAGGCCTTAGTAGTGGACCATTTTTCTTTGGAGCAATGTTCGAAATGTTTGAATATGAAGTAGTTTATTTGAGTATGGTTTTGAATTGCGAGTTGATTGATAGTTGTACCGAAGTGCTGATAGCCGAATTTTTTTTTTAAAAATTGAATATAGTCGAAATCGTACACATTATTATTATAGTAGTTTTTATAGTATAAAGATCTATATAATCTTAGTAATTGAAAAAATTGAACTTAAGTCATTTACATTGGTATATAATAGTTACCCTGTACTTCATAGAAATAACCTTAGTAAAGTTAGAACTGTAATTGAACCATTACATTTGGCATGATTTTAAGGATGGTTTAGGACTAATCGCAAAATTACACATCATAATTTTGCCCTTTATAAAACACAGTAGTTTAAGTCTAGGTAAACATAAACTGCGAACTAATCGAAGCATTGAGGTTACATGGAGTTACCGAGGTCACATGGGATATTAAGAACAAGCAGTTCTTGCCAGGATTGAGGGTTTATATAGTTGAGCAGAGTGTTAATCCTAGTGTATGGATGCGTGATATGAGGGTCTATGTATCACAAGAAGTTGTCTCGAAATAGCAGCCTTGCTTAAAATTATCGATTTAAAATCAAACTTCAATTTATCGCAAAAATGGAGTTCGTGGAAAAATTATTACGACATCGGATTACATCACTGGTGGAACCTCGAGTTTCCAGTGTGTACAGGCACATCTATTCCGGTAGTTTAGAAAGGTTAGCTTCATCAATGTTCGAGCATATGGTATCACATGCAATGAATATTGTAATCGATGCCGAGTAGGCTAGAATGTCATGGGGGGAAAACTATGGAGAATCGCCAAACTATCTGCGCACGAACGCAATTGGTTTGATACTTGCTAAGTGCACGCTAACAGTGAACTGTGCTGATGCTAAGAATAATAGGTTTACTAATACCATGTGTGGCACGATAGCTTGCACATGAAAGCGGGAGTCGACCATTCTTTCAGAAAAGTTGTTCATCCGCTGTTTTGTGCAGTAGTTTGTGCAGTTAGCAAAAGAAATGTTGCCTAAAGGCCATTCAATGGTTGATAATTTTTACCGGACAAAAAAATTAGTTTGGGGATTGGGACTACCCGTGGAAAAGATTGATTCAAGAGATATGGGAGAGCTGGCAAAAGACATGGGAGGATCTTGCATTCAAGAGAAAGCGGGAGACATTTGCACAAAACACGCGCAGTGAGACTGGCGGTGATAGAGCAGGACCTTCTCGATACACAGGCGGATCAATATCTGCTATAGAGACATCTCGATTATTAGTGAGTCAACTAGTCATAGTATATGAAAATGATGTTTAATGAAAGTGATAGAGATATACTATTAACCATTATATATAAGCCATGACATATGTAATAGTAATAGCTATGAATATTTTACTACTTGACAATATTTCTTGTGTATTGATTGGAAATTTGCATAAATAAAATGTTCATTAGCATGAATGAGACCACATAATTGCTGATTAGTACAATTTTGTCATTGTATTTAGATTGGACCAACGTAGAGAGAATGGATGTCGTTATACCTGACTGATTAACATATTCTTAGACATTAGAGAATGAATTTTTATTGTTGCGGAATCTTGAT